AATCCTGTTTCTAATTCAAATTTAAAAAGTTGGAAAAAAAAAAGAGTGCTGAGGCCAATAAGCAGCTGGCTACATGAGTGGGTTGGGGACCAGCACTAGAGTTAGGCTGGGGAGTGTAACGGGGTCTGTTGAAAGGAAAGAAGCATCTTCTACTGGAATTAGAAGCCTAGAGCTTCAAGCAGCCATTGATCATGGCAGAAAGGAGACCTGACATGTTACTGAAGGAAAGCCAAGGCCAGATGGCTGGATTCTGGTCACATCATTTGAGTCCCTGAGATGAGTGCTAGCCTGGACGTTTAGTTACATGGCTCACAAATTTCCATTGCATTCAAGTCCACTAAAGCAGGTTTCTATGGTTTGTCATCATAGAGAGATTCCTGACATACATGGCCACACAAATATGACATGAAAACACATCTCTGGTGTCTCAGGCCATGTGTGTCCCATTGGGCTTAATTTAGGAAACAAAACAGGAATATTTGAGTACAGCCTCTCCCTGTCCTGCTCAATACAGGAAACTCTCAGACTGGTAAATCACCAACCCTGACTTTTGTCCCAGTGTTTAAATGACAACGTAAAACAGAGCCCACCTGTGCCTGCTACATTTGTTCAGCATTTTTTTGAGTTAATAGATCACTGCAAGATGTTTGTAGGTTGAACCCAAAACCGTATCTGTGGACCTTTACTTATACCTCATATCTGAAGTATCACAGATGGGCCTCTCCTGGTTCACTTGTCCATTTCCAGCCCCAGAGCCCCATCCTCCCTTCTGCTGGGCCGGAGTCACCTCCTCACTCATATGACCTGGGGGAGGGGAAGCTGGTGCTTGTTTGGTTTTACTTTGGGGCTTCTTGAGGCAGGGTGTCATGTAGACCAGGCTGGTCTAGAACTTACTCTATAGCTGACAATGTCCTTGAACTCCTGATCCTCCTGCCTCTACCTCCAGCGTACTAGGATTCCAGGTGTGAGCCACTATGCCTAAATGATCTGTGTATTTTTCTTTAGACTATGTTTTAGAGTCATCAGCTCAGACTCATTGCTCGTTTTGTTAAACACTGTCCTAAACAGGTTTAACATGTTTAAGAGTTTCTCCAAGGTGTAAAGCTACAGTCAGGTGCAGTGGCACCTGCCTGTAGTCCTAGCTCCTTGGGAAGATGAGGAGGATCGAAGAGAAGGGAAGGAAAAGAGACATCACTCAGCATAGAGTGAGGAAACCTCCAAGAAGACACATTGCATAGCTCCCTGCTTCCAGGGAGACGGCAGGCAGACTTTGTAGGACCATGTTTGTAGGGATGGTCTCACTTCTGACATCCTAGTTCTCACACCATGCTAATGAAGTTTCTCTCTGTTCTAGTGTTCTGTACCCAATGTTCAAGCCAGACAGAGTAGCAGGCAGTAGCCAACGCGGGACAACATGGTTATGGGAAATGAGGACAGGGAGAGAGGGTAGTCAGACTGAGTGCCGCCTGCTGCTGCCCTTTGGTATCCCTCTGGGCCTAGGCCAAGGCCTGGAGCCTGACCCAGGTTCTCTGTGTCCTTGGTTGCTTAGGTGAGGAAGGAAGAGGCTGGCAAGAGCGGAACTGGCAGGAAGGGGCTTGGGCTACTTGGGGTTTTCTAGACCTTCTCCATTCTAATTCCTTCCAGGGAACTCTTGGGCGAAGCCCCTGCTTCCTCCTGACCCAACAACCTGCCCATCTGACTTCCTGTGCCAGTCTGCCCCAGAGTGCTGGATGGGCAGATGCCTCAGGGTCTTCCTTCTAGGAGCATAGAGTGGGGAGTGGTCTTCTCTGCCTCAGGAAGCTGGAGCCTGGGCTGGAGCACATGAGCTCATGTCTGTGAGCAGAGGATGTGAGCAGGATTCTCCATTGGGGGGTGCCCGCACAAACAGGAGCCACTGCCTGGCTGCATCTGTCTCTCCCTGTTGAATTCCGAGTCCTGGAACCTGGCTTTGATTGTGGCTGGAGGTTGTGTGGAAGGAAAGTGTTCCGTTGCTAAACATTCAGGGCTGGCTTGCCTTTATAAACACTCTGACTCATTGTGGTAATATTTTTTAACTTCATACCTGACACCATGCTAGCTGGGTAACAGAAAGAGAGAGACTAACTACCGTGTCTGGACAGTTTCTCCAAAGCCATTCTACAAGAAATCAGAATAGATAATCATCCCAGCACTGAAGGTCAAAACCCTGAAGGAGAGGACTTTCCTACAGCCAGTTTTGGCAGCCTAGAGTTCTAGACCCTAGCCTGTTCTTTTGGGAAAAACACCCAGGAACTTTGCTCAAAAACTTCCCTACTATTCATACATGGATGATTTCTAGCTAAGAAATTCACTGCTCTGAGTGTCTACTAAAAACATAGCATGGGGGTTTGGGGTACACACTCTGGCTCAATTCCAGTTTATCCCTTATAATTGTGCAACTTCCAAAATGCAACTGCATTTCTGATTCTTTAGCTGTGAATGTTTGAGTACAGTACCAACATAACTAGGTATGAGTTGTGAGTAAATACTAACTCTCACTATTCATGTACTAGGGGATGCTAACAAAAGGCCACCTGATGAGGAAAGACAGCATGAAGAGATAGAGGAGCCATTGGGGTGGTCTTAAAGACCAGTTTATAACATGGGCTTTGTCATCAAATAGGTTCTTGAGATGATAAGTGTCAAGTGCATAGTATAGGTACCACCCAGAGAGGGCTGGGGCAGCAGGAAGTGGTACTTCCTACCAGTGATGCGGAGTGAGAACATAAAGCGCCTAGAATAGAACTTGCTAACTGGTAGCTGCTGCTGCTGTTACTTAGAAAGCATCAAACAGTCTTTTCTTTTCCCATGAACTCAGACTCATATATTAGTATAAACACATAGATACAGTCAACCCTTAGAATTGATGGGTTCACATCCGTTGGTTCAACATCTACAAATTCAAGCAACCCCAGATCAAATATTTTTTTAATGGATCTCTTCTGAACATGTATAGACATTTTCATGCCATTTACCCCTAAATAATACAGTCTAACAACCATAGGACATTTGTGTTGTACTAGACAGTATAAATAACCTAGAGATTATTTAAAGGATACAGAGGGATGTGAGTGGGTTATATGAAAATACGATGCCATTTTATGAGGGGCTCGTGGGACTAATCCCCATGGAGACTGAGTGATGGCTGTAATTATGTATAGTCAAGGGAAGCTGGAAGGGAGATGTCTGCAGACACAAAAAAAAAAAAAAAGATGAAAAATTGATCATTAGCAGGTTGCATAAGACCATCTGCTGCCAAGATCAGTGGAGTTGGTGAGCATGCCGAGACATCCATTCCCAACAAGGATTTTTAAATGATTTTTGCCAAGGGCCCTTTGACACGCCCTCTTGATCCTTTGCTGCCGAAATGGTAACTCCTCGCTGTACTAGAAGGAACACAACTCTAAGAAGGAGGGGTGGAATCATCAGGGAAGAAGCTGTCCCCAGGTAGCATTCCACTGGCATCACAAAGCCCAGCCCTTAATGATAAAAATGCAATTTCAAAGGGTTTTCTTTTTAAGATTAAGGAAAACAAGGCTTAGAAAACATATGGGATTCATTAAGTAGGTCATGTGTCTGTCCTGTGTCCCCTGCTGCTGGGAAAAGGACTCTACAGAAGCCATCTTGGAATTAAAGTGTAGCTCTAAGCTAATTGATGTATCAGCAGCTCTTTTTGAAACCGTACATTAGATATGTATCCTTGGAAACCGCAGGAGGTTTATAGACAGATTTGGCAGGCCCAGGGAATTGGTTTCATCTGGAAGTTCCCTGTGATTCTCTCCAGCTCCAGAGAGAGCCTCATTTAGAACCAGAAGGACAGTTGCTTCTCTTCATGCAACCAGAGGCTTGCTGTGGAGAGGCTTCGGGAGCAGAAGCTACTAGTACATTCAAGTTGTTCTGCCCATACTGGGGCATTGGATACAGTTCCAATGTATCCAATCTCCTGGGAAGCTATCTCACTGTTTCAGAAGAGCCAGGATGGTTGCCAGGAACCATCCTTGGTCCAGAAAGACCAAGTGAACTGTGCCCACTGGGCCCCCTACACATTGGGTACCTGCTTCTTCAGCAGCATCACTTTTCTGTTTCAGACCTTCTTGGGATATGAGGCCCTCATCCCACTTAGCTGACATTGGAGAACACAGCCCTTTGGTGACCTGATATGTGTTCATTGCAATGGGATCTCAGAATGTATGTCTAAGTACAGATGCTCAGTGGGATGAAGCAGCCAGTCTGGAACTTTGAATTTATTTCACTTTATCTATGGGAGAAATGTAAACTGACTGAGGTTTCACACTTGTGCACTTGTAGACAGGGTAAAAGAAGACTCTTAGACATGAAATCTGCTGAGAACTATGGGACCCCATGAAGGTCTAAGACACACCAGAGCAGGGTGTGGTCATGCCAGAATGCTTTCCAGCTTCCTAGAGTGTGGGATAGATGAGGATTTAGGGAGCTGGAACCTAACCGTATCTTCACACTGGATCAATGACAGCTGGGTAGCAGTGATGGGAGGCAATGACATTCTAAGCAAGAAATCGGTATAAGATGGCTCTCCCTTGAGGCACTATGGGAAGGAGCTGATAGGATGTTGTTGCTGCAGCCATCGCTGTCGGGGCTGCTTATTCAGCCTGCTTGGGTAAGGAGTGTAGGGTGGGAGTCAGGCCTCCTCTGACACTTTGTGGTGTCAAGAATGTTCTCTCACCTAAGCAGACTGCTTCAAGGAACGGAGGAGATGATGGAAAAGAAAAAGCTTTGAAAAGTGAAGACGTCAAGACAATAAGGTGTTCAAGCAGTGGAGTCAACACTTGTTTTTAAAATGGTATCCGTTCTCCTGTAACCACATCCATTCCCCCATGAATGATCCTCTTAGAGAAAAGGGAACTGGAGGAAGTGATAGGGCTGGAACAGCTGGGAGTGTGTAGGCCCCTCCAGACTGAAAAGTCAACCCTTCTCCCCTTCAGAACCCAGGAGTACCTTGAGGGCCTCTTGGTCTTGGTCTGGGTGGTGCAGGAAGCAGTATAGCCACCCTATAACCCCATCTAGGTCTGTTCACAGATAGGCCTGCCCACAAACCGGCTGTGAGCAACCCCCAGGAGCCCCAGGAAATGCCTGCATGCAAGACTCAGGGTTCCCCACAGGGGTGGGACCCCATTGCCCCCCTCCCTCCGGGTGAATAAGAATGGTTTCCAGGTGACTCATCTAACTAAAATGCAAAATTAAAAAACAGCCGATTAGCCTTACTCACAGTGAGTCAAGTACCAGCCCAAGCATTGTGTTCTCCCTTATCTCAGGATCTGAGAAGGAAATCAGGAAGGCTTGGCCCAAGTCTCCCAGAACCAGCACATTGCTGTCCTTTTTCTCTGTGGTGAAAACCTCCTAGGGCTTGACTTAGGAGGTGAAATTTCTGACCACTCAAAGTAAGGCTGCCCCTGTGGCTCAGAAGGCAGGATGGCCTCTGTGGGGGAAGGGGACAGCAGCTTGTGACCTTGGGACAATAGCTTGACCCTCTGGGGCTCAGCTCCTCTAAGAATGGAGGTAACAGCAGCACTCAGTACTTCACAACCATCACAAAAGCTACTCTAGTAAACCTATACTAGGTATACACAAAAGAGCAAGACAAGAAGAGCCTGTCACACATGGCAACTGTGTTAGAATTATCAGGTGGACAATTAGCTCTTGATTAGAACATGGTTCTAGTAACAGTATCGTGAGTGTCCGTTACCTTATTCATCCTCTTTGGTTGTTTATTTTGTTGTGTTTTGTTTCGTAACATGGCCGCCCATCTGTGGTGCCCTCTAAAGGAGAAGTCACACAAAACTGATGACTCGTTACTATGTCCTATGCTTCTGTCCTTACCCAAATCCCTGCTCCATTCCTTCTCCTCCCCTGTCACTCAGCAGCTACTGCTCCCTCCCAAAGCCTTGGCCTCAAGTCTCTCAGCAGAATGCTGTGCAGAGATGAAAGCCAGAGCCCGGATGGTGTGCAAGGCAGGGCTGTTGTCTCACACACTGTGCTTGCTCCACTGGACTAATAATCTTAGTCAGGCTCTGAATGTCTCCTTGGCCTCTCATCCACAGGGCTCTATGTGTTGGTTGGAGCTGGAGCCCTGATGATGGCTGTGGGATTTTTCGGGTGCTGTGGAGCCATGCGTGAGTCACAGTGTGTGCTCGGATCAGTAAGTGGGCTTTATGAGGGTCAGGGTGGGTTGGTAAACTTCCCTGGAGGGAGGAGGGAGCCCCGGATTGAAGTGTTAAACCCTCCTGGACTTGAAGCTTTGGCACTGGACCCTATCTGTGATGTCTGTTTCCTCCATCTCCTGCATGAGAATAGTATTATTATCTTTGTTCCTGCTCATATGGAAAATGTGAAAACAATGAGACCATCAGTATAAAGATATTTGGGAAGAGTGCTTACGAATTGATTGTTTTTTAAAAAATAATATTCAACTGTGATGTGTCAGCGTAAAGATTCCCATAGCCAGGAAAAACCTGTTGTTTACAAGGAAAGCATTTCTGGTTAAGATCAATAACTTAGTGAAACATCCCTCTGGTGCCTAATTTTTTTTCTAGACAGGGTTTCTCTGTGTAGCTTTGGACCCTGTCCTGGAACATGCTCTGTAGAACAGGCTGGCCTTGAACACACAGAGATCTGTCTGCCTCTACCTCCCATGTGCTGGGATTAAAGGTGTGCGCCACCACTGCTTGGCATCTGGTGCCTTATTTTCACCAGCAGCTTCTGTTTAAAAATAAAAAGTTTCTGTTACCTGTTACCTTCTAGCAGCAGATACTCTGAAGTAGAAGGAGGTGGGGAGCCCAGGGAGGGCTTTGTATTTCTCACAGGGAGCCTGAAGCAGGGTGCACTGAAGCCCCTCATTTCTCATTCCCATTGCAGTCTTTGGGTTTTCCATGTCTGACCGATGATTCCCATCTAAGGCTATGTGAAATGTCTGCTTCTTCTCCCTGCCATTCTTCCTTTCTCCAAATAAAGCTCCGTTTTGTTTATCACAGAGCTGAGTTTGATCAGAAAACCTAAGACCTGGCAGACTCTATCCATAAGGAGACTCCCCCTCACACACATCCCAAACATACCCCCGTCCTGCACACACACCCTGCACACACCCCACACACAAACACTGCATACACACACTCTCGCATCCACACACTCACTGCACATACCCCCCCCACACACCCAACACACAATGCATACACACCCCACACATACACCCTGCACACACACACCCAACACATACACCCTGCATACACACCCCACACACACACCCTGCATACACACTCCACATACACACCCTGCAAACACACACACCCAACACATACACCCTGCACACACCCACCCCACAATACACTCTGCACACACACACCCCACACATTCACCCTGCATACACACCCCACATACACACCCTGCAAACACACACACCCAACACATACACCCTGCATACACACCCCACACACACACCCTGCAAACACACACCCAACACATACACCCTGCACACACACACCCCACAATACACTCTGCACACACACACCCCACACATTCACCCTGCATACACACCCCACATACACACCCTGCAAACACACACACCCAACACATACACCCTGCACACACACCCCACACACACACCCTGCACACACACACCCAACACATTCACCCTGCATTCATATCTCACACACACCCCCTGCAAACACACACCCAACACCTCCACCCTGCACACACACCCCCCACATACACACCCTGCACACCCCCCACACATTCACCCTGCATTCATATCTCACACACACCCCCTGCAAACACACACCCAACACCTCCACCCTGCACACACACCCCCCACATACACACCCTGCACACCCCCCACACATTCACCCTGCATTCATATCTCACACACACCCCCTGCAAACACACACCCAACACCTCCACCCTGCACACACACCCCCCACACATTCACCCTGCATTCACACCCCACATACACACCCTGCAAACACACACACCCAACACATTCACCCTGCACACACACACCCCACACATACACTCTGCACACACACACCCCACACATTCACCCTGCATACACACCCCACGCACACACCCGGCACACACACCCCCAACACATACACCCTGCATACACACCCCACGTACACACCCTGCAAACACACACACCCCACACACACACCCTGCACACACACACCCAACACATTCACCCTGCATTCATATCTCACACACACACCCTGCACACACCCCCCACACCCCTCACACATAAACCCCTGTACACACATGCTCTGCACACACAAACACACACACTGCACACATACCTCCCCACACACACGCCGAATGTCCACACACCCACACACACCCTGAACATGTCGATCCCCACATACACCTCACACAAACCCGCCCCCCCCAACATACACACACACCCCCTGAACATGTAGATCCCCACATACACCTCACAATACCCCCCAACATACACACACACACCCTGCACAGACTGCTACTCTTCTCTTCGTCTCCTCAGAGAAGCCTTCCAGATCACAATGCTCACATCACACTCTGCCTCACCAGCAGCTCTGTGTCCAACCATATTTCCTCTCTGTAGAACTCACTTGGTCATCAAGTATTTATGAAATATGTCTCTACCAGGTACTGTGCTAGGTGATAGAGTTTCTATGTAGCTATCTCATATTCTTTATGCATTTTTAAAACCTTTATTCATTTGCTGTATCTTTTCTGCTCAATATAAACTTTATGATAGCGGAGAGGTTGGGATCTTGCCTGCCATTGTATAACCAGCACACAGGACAGTGCCTGGCACAGAACACTCTCTCAGTAAACAATTGTTCAGTGAAATAACAGACAAGCCACACAAAAGTGCCTTGACAGTTGCATGAGGGATACAAAGTATGTAAGTGCTTCCCTTCTTACCCAATGCCTTGCCAGTGGGACTAGATGCAAACAGGCTAAATGACTTGAAAAGGTATTAAATTAATGAAATTAGTATTTTCTCTCAACAGTTTTTTACCTGTCTGCTGGTGATATTTGCTGCGGAAGTAACCACTGGAGTGTTTGCTTTTATAGGCAAGGATGTAGTAAGTAAAACCTAGATGATTTTGTGGTTGTTAAGGCATTCATCTTGTGGAAAACAACATAGACTACTCACCCCAAAATGTTATTAAGAAACAAAATAGCTCACAAAATGTGTAAATAAACCTTTTAACCTAGTAGTGTTTAGGGCTCAACATGTATATATGAGTGGTAATATATGGTCTCTACTCAAGTGTTTAAACTGGTCTATGTTTGTTTGTTTGTTTGTTTGCTTGCTTGCTTGCTTGGTTTTTGAGACAGAATTTCTCTGTAGCATTGGAGCTCTGTCCTGGAACTTTCTTTATAGAACAGGCTGGCCTCAAACTCACAGAGATCTGCCTGTTTCTGCTTCCTGAGTGCTGGGATTAAAGGCGTGTGCCACCACTGACCAGCTTGTTTACATTGGAGCTCTGTCCTGGAACTTTCTTTATAGTCCAGGCTGGCCTCGAACTCATAGAGATCTGCCTGTTTCTGCTTCCTGAGTGCTGGGATTAAAGGTGTGTGCCACCGCAGCCCGGCTTGTTTGTTTGTTTGTTTTTTAACTGGTTTTCCATTTTAAGATTGTCCCTAGTTCAAAATGAGGCAGGCATTAGGTTACAGATACAAGAATGGGGCAAGGAGAAAGACCCCATCTTCTCATCCCTCTGTCACTTGTCCCAAAGGCTTGGCTTAGACAGGGGCCACACTGTTGTGAGAAGCAAGAACAATCCTTAGTGACCAGAACACGTTATAAGAGGAGCCCACGGGGCATGTGGCCTTTAGAAGGACTTTCAGCTGGCAAGAAAGCATGCTTCCACAGATTCCACCGATCTCCTAGATGTGCCTAGTTGCCAGTGAAGCCCATCAGGTTTAGAAATCCCTACTCTAAGAGATGGCTCTAACCGACGGGCATTGGTGGCACATGCCTTTAATTCCAGCACTCGGGAGGCAGAGGCAGGTGGATCTCTGTGAGTTCAAGACCAGCCTGGTCTACAAGAGCTAGTTCCAGGATAGGCTCCAAAGCTACAGAGAAACCCTGTCTTGAAAAATGGCTCTGACCTAGGAAAGCATTCTTAGTTGGTGTGTCCTCCATCTTCAGAAGAGTGTGTGGGAAAGCAGTGCTCCCAAAGGAAGCAGAAAAGGGGGCTCTTCTTGGTAAAAAGGAAATGTCTGCAACTTCCCATTCACTGTGTCCTGGTATTTTTTTCAGGCTATACGACATGTACAGACCATGTATGAGGAGGCATACAGCGATTACCTTAAAGACAGGGGAAGGGGAAATGGCACTCTCATTACCTTCCACTCAGCAGTGAGTAACTTCACTTCTTCCTTGATGTCACATTTTCTACATATCATGCATGAGCCAGGCTTTCTCTAATTGCCTAAATTTAAAATAAAATAAATCCAACAAGTGGAAACAGATGCCTATTTTAGCTCTGATGCTATAGTTTGTGTTTTGTGGAGACCTTTGGCTAGAATGAGACCTACCACAGATTCACAAGAAGTCAGGGTGTGTGCCCAAAAAGAGACCAAAAGCATGAGCAGGGCACTGAGAAAGCCACCCAAATGCATGTCATTTCCTCTCAGTGGTGACACTGTGGTATGACAGAAGCAATCATGGTGTCCTTCAAGCCAGGAAAGCTTCAGCCCTGTGATGCTAAAGGGATTAGTTAGCCTCTCTGATATCTGCTCACCTCACTCCTTATTTACAAAACAAAGGTTGTGGGGAAACAACGATATTCCCTTCTAGAATGTTCCATGGGAATGTGCTAGAGAGCAGTGCTTAGAGCTGCATATAGTTGAGAAAGGCTTAGATAGGAAATGGGTCAGACCAGGCCGCTCTGTCTTCTTAAGCACTGTACTCTAGAGAAGTAACTGTGAACTTCTGAGCCAGTGTGTTCAAATACCTGGCTCTATATGACAAGAGTGTCTGAGAAGGCTCTTCAGAGACATCAAGCAGCACACAGACCCCTTTGTCTTAAACAGCCAGCCCTGAGGCAGGCTGCCAGTTTGCCAGCCAGCACTCATGCTTGCTCTTCTAGCCCTGGGCTTTCCCTGTGGCTACCTCTCCTCTCTTCTCATAGTCCCTGACTAATGAGATATTTCCAAAGCTCATAAGGTTTGCTCCTCAGCAGGTTTTTCAGACTTCATGTCTGAAGGATGGCATGTGAGGCCCCGCTCCTGTCTCTAAAGTGGCCCTTTATGGACGACACCATCAATTAGCCCCTTGCCTCAAGTCACTTCCTATCATAAAACTTAAGCAGCTTTGGAGAAGTCCTGTTCCTGAGTTGCTAGCACAATTCTGTGATTCTTCTTTCGTTCTTTGGGCCTCAGAGCTACCTTTCAGCCTCAGCACTGCCAGCCAGCAGTGATGCCTGGGAGCCAGCACTCCTATCATGTGGTCATCCCCACCGCCCGCCCCATGCCCTAAAGCCTCTTCTTGCTCTCTAGTTTCAGTGCTGTGGGAAAGAAAGTTCTGAACAAGTTCAGCCGACCTGTCCAAAGGAGCTTCCCGACCACAAGGTAAGCTGGGTATTTCTGGTTCCCCCAGCTGTTGTGAGGAGGTTTTGGTGTCAGGGTAGAGGCTCAAGTCCTTCCTTCAAGTCTAGGGGGGCTGTGGATCTTGAGCCTTACTCATGCCATGTGAACAAGAGAGCAACCCTGAGTCAGGTTCCTCATACCCCAGGGAATAATGGGAGGCTTGCTTGCCAGTGCCTACGCCACGTGCTTAAGGTACATTAATTTACTTCACCAGGGCCAGCGGTCTGTGTGTCCCCCTTCCCCCATGTCTTTCTGGGACAGTCACAGCACTGATAAATTTAACTGCTCTGTCACCATATTCTCCAAGTATAAGAGAAGAAACAGTCCCTCCCTCAGTAACTTCAGTATTGATGACTGCATAGATAGCAGAGATGAGAACTCACCACTGGGTTCTGGCTTCTCCACGGGTACAGAGGATGATGCCATTCATTGAATTAATGAATAGAGGAGAAAGAGCCTATTATGGAGAAAAGAGACAGTATAGTGGGTTTGTTAAAAAATTTTTTTGAGATCTGTTTTATTTATGCATATAAGAGAAAGAAAGATGTGGATTTGCACAGCCCAAGGAAGCCAGAGGAGTCAGATCCCCTGGAACTGTAGTTACAGGCAGTTGTGCACCACCTGACATGTTACTGGGAACCAGATTCCCCCTCTACTCTTCACCATGGGTCGCTCGTTCCTCAGTCCCATTTTGGTGTTTTAAACATTGCGGTTTGGAAAATCTGGTGTGTGGCTTAAAAGAGATGTTAAAGTATCAATGACCTGTAATCTTAGCGTTAGAGACATGTATTTGACTCATGAGATTTTGAAAAAAAAGAAAAATGTGAATAATAGTCTAAGCAACACCACTATTAAGGCTGGGCAAAGGCCAGCAGCTAAAAAGGAGGAGGAGTCAGACACAAAGGAACTGCTGCTGAGGAGATTGGCGCGGTGCCTGTCAGGCACTGTGGATACAAAGATGAATGAGACAAGGTCCCTACCAACAAGGAACCTACTGTCTATTAGGAGATGTAAACACTAGAGTTGACGCAGTGCACAGTGGGGTTATAGACAGAGCTTGCATGGTGCTCCAAGAGCCCCGGGAAGGCATATAGAAGACACCCGATGAAGGGTAACCAGATAAAGACTCTGTGGATGATGACAGTTCAACTATGTTCTGCACTGAGAGGTAATTATGTAGTTTGAGCCAAGTACAAGAAAAAAAGAGCTCACAAAAGATGAAAGGCAAACGACTGTTTAAACACATAAAAAAGCATAGGTAATCAGAAGCAATCTTAAATTAACAGAAACTTTAAGTGACAAGACACCATTGTTTAACATGTGAAATTAGCCAAGTTTTCTTTTTCTCCTATTAATAACATAATATGGGCAAGAATGATATGAAATTAAGATTTTTTTTAATTGGTACAATGGTCTTAGAGATTAGTACAGTCATGGAGCCCAGAATGTTAAATGTGCTCATGCCCTTTGGTCTAGAAACTCTATTTCTCAGAATTTATCCTAAAAAAAAATGGAATCTTTTTAATATATGCAGGAACTGGGGAGACAGTTCAGCTGATAAATTACACAAGCACAAGACCTGAATTTAATCCTTGGTATCTCATAAAAAAATCTGCATGTGGTGGACCTGCCTGAAATCCCAGTGCTGGGAAGGCAGAGGAAGATGGTCCCCAGGGCTCTCTAGCTAGCCTACACTAATTGGTGAACTCTAGGGTCCCCGAGAGAGTCAGTATCAAAAGACAAGATTGACAGCTCCTGTGGTGCCCCCCCCCACACACACACACACACGGGGAAAATGTGGGTAGAAAATTTTGTGCAGTATTCATTACAAATAATATATATTAATAACCAAATACTGGTCTCTTAACATGCTAAATAGGATATTGTTTAAATATTATCATTTCATATGATGTTTTATTGCCACTAGGAATCACAATTTCCAAAAAATAAGACAGTATTTTTTAAGTTTCTTCATGTTAAGTGTAAAAGCACACAGATTAATATAAAAGTGAGCTGAGTATGTGGGTCTTTTTATACCCAAAAATCATCAACAGTATTAGTTATGATCTTAGAGGACAGATGTTTCTTAGTTTCATTTTATTAATATCTATTATCCAAATTTCAATGACTGTGTATTCCCTTGTGAATAAGGAAAGCCAGTACATGTTTTGTAATTTGTTTTTCACACAAGAAGCTATCTCCGAATGGAAAGAACGGCTGTCCGCAGGGTTGGAGGGGGATGGCAGGGGACAGGCTGCTTTGCTTGCTTTAGACTGAAAACGTTGAGTGTGGTGTCACTTGGCCAATGGAAATGTTAATAGACAGAAAAGAGGCTGAAAGAGAGTGACTGGCAGGCTCCCTGAGAGAGGAGAGGGAGTGCGACCCAGAGCCAGCGAAGGGGCTAGCTTTCTACAGAGAAGGGCACCTCACTATCTCTGAGGAAAGGAAGAAAAGTTACAAAGGAAAACTTGTGCCTTTTGTGTGCTCACTACCTGCCTGGCACAGAAGGGAGGCAGTGTCTCAGAGCCCAGGTGGAGAGGAATGCGAGAAGAGCTGCACATTGACTGGTTTTCTCTGGTGTGCCCGGAAGCTGCTGTCTCCAGCAGCGCTCTAGGCTTTCACCAGAGGGCATCATTGTTCTTCTAGGAGACTGCATCCTCCCTTCCTCTGGAGAGAGGAAGCTATAGTTTACTGCTGCACATACACCAATCCACTACAGTGGCTGATACAAGGTCTGCAGGACCATTGAATAGAAAGGGAGGCATGAAAGTGGTCACCATTCCATGTAACTCAATATCAGAGAATGCTAAAGATCTGTGTACCCCGAGGGTACATCCGGGCTGAGAGCACACCTCTATGTAGGAAGACTCCAAATGGAAGCTGTTGGCACTGGGGACATAATAGTGGTCATAGATGGTCCACACTGTCCCCTGCTCAGCCTCCTCCTTGTCTATGAAGGTTCTTCAAACTCATGCTTCACAGATCTCTTAAGAGTCGAGGATAGGAACCCACAGCTCAACTAACATTGGAACAATGATCTTCTAACTCTCAAGACCTGGTTTTCCTACGTATTGACTTTCCATAATTTAACTTGACTCCATGCAGACTTTTTAGTCTCATAATAGGTAGGTAACACCCGCCTTGCATAGAGCAAGTGTATAAAATGCCTTTTAAACTGTAGATGACTATAGGGGGCTATTATTTAGAAAATATCTTTCTTTGCTGAAAATAAGAAAAGGCCTCAAGTTTTGGAATGCCTGAAGTCCCCTAGAAATTGCTTTGTGAAGCTATATTTCGGATCTCTGAGGCAGACCACTGGCCTAAACAGGACAGTGGTACCAAAGGGGGAGGGGACTTGCATTTTCCCCATCACTACATTTTTGCTTTACAGTTATGTCAATGTTACCCATGAGATGGTTTACATATGAGCAGAAGCTGACATGGATGAGCTTACAGACCCATCATGGAAAACGGAAGGATTGGGTCAGGACATGAGTCACACAATTAGTTTTTATGCTGACTTTATTTTTTTTTCCAAAACAGAATTGTATCGACACAATTGAAACCATAATTAGTGTTAAGCTCCAGCTCATTGGAATCGTTGGTATTGGAATTGCCGGTCTCACGGTAAGAAAGCTGTAGAATGTAATCGTTTTTTGTCATCTAAGAAGCATTAGAACCTTACATCTTATTTCTCTTCACATTGGAGATGGTGGTATCTTAAGTGGGGATTCTCAAAATGGATAAAAAAAACCTTTGTTCACAGCACTCCTCAGACTATACCCAGGATGAGGTGGAGGTCACATCCAAACTTGTAGCCATGAGAAAGGGGATGCCCTTGCTTTATCTGTCTGGAATCAGCACCCCAGGAGTTTCTTCCTGAGTTCTTCTTCCATAGGGAAGGACTGTACAGTGTAATCACTTAGCCAAATGCCCATTAGCTATCGTCTGGCCACACCCTAGCTTGGGTCCTGTCAGCCACAGGCCTGAACTCTTTGCTGGCTGAGCCCTTAGCTCTGTCTGCCCTTGCCCTCCCATTGCTCCTTCCCTGATGCACTGAACATTCACAGATCCTAGTTGTCTTAGGATGGGATCGAAGAGAGAATCAGGGTCATGGCACCAAATTTTAAAAATGAACATTACCAGTCATTTAGAGGTACCCACAGACAGGGTTCCTCTGGCTGTGGCCTTGTAGGGGTAATGACTGAGGACAAAAAGGACCTTTTGGTATTCTCTTCAAACCAGAGGGAAAATAGTTCTGTCCAGGTATTTGGTTTCTTAGAAAACTTTCCAAGAGACAGACGTCAGGAACATTATAGTTCAATAACTTCCATTTATGTTTTGATAGAACTACTGAGTTAAACAGTCATTTATCATTTGTGTGGAAATAGACAATGAAGAATGAAGAGAAACCCCACTGTTTAACAAGACTTCACTGCTGTAGGAACTAAAGCTTTTCTGAGTTAGACCTTAAGCCCATTTACCTAAGAAATTAAGAACATGTTTTTCTGAATGAATAAAATAAATCTGAGATTCACCTAAAATATAAAATTCAAAGACCAGAAATGTATCAATCGTTCATCACTTTTAAGAACTATAAGCCAGAAACAGAGCCCTTACTTCAAATAGACTTGTTTGTTAAGATAACAGCAATTCAGCAAGGTTGGTACAGAAGTTTTACTTATAGCCATCCTCAAAGAACATACAAAAATTGGCATTTACAGCCAGTGTCATTGGTTAGGATTATTTAGTAACTTGAGCTTGGCATGGCCATAGTTTGCTGATCTTTTTATGGAATCCACGTGTGGAAGTTGCTAATGTGCTTCTTTCTGTTGCAGATTTTTGGCATGATCTTCAGCATGGTGCTTTGCTGTGCAATAAGAAACTCACGAGATGTGATTTGAAGATACTTCATCATGAAAATTGCAATCGAGAGTTTTCATGCTAAATGTCACAAGAGCGATCTCAGCTCATTTTTAATATTCAGGATATTAGAAGCTAAAATAATTTGCTGTTAACTGTATATTTGCACATGTATGTATGTCTGACTCATTACTGATTTTCCCCTTGAGTGAATGTCATGTGTGGTCTGTGTGTTTCTGGTATATGCATTGCACATACTGATATCTGTTCCCTAGGAATCCCTAGTTCTTGTATGCAGGGAGAATAACCTATTGCAGTTCCAGGGAAAAAAGGCGATCAAGCTTTAAAATACTTACAAAACCTGGCTATTTAGGAAATGTGATAATGGGTCCATTTCTCAGATTTTAGCCATGAAAGTTAGATACATAAAGAGAATGCAGAATTTCTTATTAATGGAAGCAATAAGCTATGAGAATTGAGGGGTCACAGAGCAATGTCAAGATTTGACTGTGTCTGAGTTGAGTGTAAAGGTTTCTTGGAGTACATAATATATACATATATTTTCCCAGAATACAGTAAACCACAGTTTCAGAGCTAAAAGTAAATATAGCATGGAAAATCCAATTTGAAAACATCATGCTTCCTTAGTATTTAAAAGCAGAAAACCTCTCTCTGGAAAGAGAAGTTACATAGACAAGCTTGTGCCCCATAAAAGTGGGTGCTCTTAGAACTAAAAATAACCACTTTCAAGGGGGGAATGTTGCTATACAAAGACATGTAGCTGTTGCTTTACCCCTCTTCTTTCCTGACTCTGCTTTGAATGCTGGAAGCCTCACCTTCCCAAAAGGGCTTTTATCTCGCACTCCTCTCCAGTGCTTCTCCAGATGCTGTGACAGACAGCAAGAGCTCTGCAGTGTGACGGTGGGAGAACCCTCCTGGCACTGCACCTTTGGAATACCTCATAACTTGAGTTTACATGTTTTCTTAATTTTTTTGCATTTTTCTAATTTTCCACGTAGAGAATTCTTTATAAATTAAGAATACAGTTTTCATCCTTTAAAATAAATAAATCCCCTGTAACTCAGATATTATGTTATGAGTACCTTGGCCAAAACAAGATAAACACCTTATCCAAGATGTGTGCACACAACAAAGGCAAGTTAATGAATCAAGAATGCTTTTATGCATACAGCTACAGATCATTTTTTTTTTTCAGAAAATCCCTATGGATTTTCTGAAATGTGCAGGTTCTTTGGGGACCTGAGTGGTTAATTTTAAGTGGGAAAACCCAGCCACTTCTCAACCTTTTGGCTGCAAGTGGGGAATCAACAGTAGGGATCTAAATTGGCATGTTTGTCATGATTCAACAACTTGCTAAAGAACATAAATTACAGATTTTTAGCATTGCATCTGGCCACACAAAAGTGAAGGTGTGAGGGCTTTGTAAACTCTAAGAGGAGCCTCTGTGCCCACTAGGAATTTTGAGTTTGTGTTAAAGTGTTGTACTTCAAGAAACCGTTACAAAGTATTTTGCTGAAAACACACATCTGCTCAAATGGTCTCGACAACTGAGCACCGGCTACTTTTCTCTTTCCGCCATTCTTGCTACTGCTACTAGCTTTAGAGAAAAATGTGAGGGAGTTACAAGCTTAATTAACTGTGTGTGACTACTTTACCTAAGCAAAAGATTATTTTTTAAAAAATCACTTCATGATTTTTGACCCCAGGAGTTGACAAATGCAACCTTTTAAGCAAAGAGGTCAATCTTTCTTATACCATTAGTTTCTAAATCTACCTGAAGACAGAAAACAGGCTGAAGCATGTACTCAGGTTACTCCAGCTCAGAATTTTTTCCCTGCTCTGCAGAAGTGAGTTTCATTCTCTATCTGAATGAACAACTTTAAAGAAAACTACAGTAACTATAAGCAGAAGAATAGAAATAATTTTTTACCGCAGAGGAATAAGTCTAGAAATCTGTGTCATGTGTGATTAGTGTACCTCTTTGTGGGTTAAGCTTTCCAAAGAATGTGCGGAGTAAAAATAGAGAATTCCATCTCTGAGTAAAGATGGATATATATCTTTATGTGAATAGATAAAGCTATATCTATAGAGATATATAATCCCTATGTCTGGAATCTATACATATCTTAAATACATATCTCTAGAGGATTTATACATATGTAATTTTAATACATGTGTACCTGTATGAAATTATGGAGATAAATGTTTGTATGTATACACATGCACATGTGTATACATTTTCAGTTATTTCTGTATACCTGAACTAATTTGAAATCAAACCCAAACATTTTAAGTTATTTCAAATTAAATTTTCTATGTACTTACTCTGCTTGAGTTATCTTAAAATTATAGTGTATCTTCTTATATATCTTCACATCACTTATTTAAACCAGTTATCCAATTTACCCAGACGATATAGTAAAAACAGACTGGTAATCTTTCCATCCTGTCATTGTGAGATGGACTCAAAAGTGGCACCCCGAGTATTCTAATTACATATAGCTGTGTTTCAAATAACACCACTTCACCCAAACTGTTCCTCTTCACTCCAGAAAAACATGGTTATCTGTGGCTTGGCCTGTAAAATTCATCCTGGCCTAGTGTGGTCCTCCTACATCAATAGCTGTCCTTTCCCTGTGAGGAATCTAATAGATGTTGCTGGCTGAGAATGAGACTCGTGAGGAGATGATAATAATCTCAATAATAATCAATAAGGAACATGGCATTTTCTCCCTTCTGAAATAAGTTTACCAAATATTCAGTGAGTTGCTCTCTTGTCACTGGTAAAGGTGGCTTCTGTGGCCCAGAGGCCAGCCACTAGGACTCCCCAAAGCCCAGTTTTCATGGCTCCATTGATATGCTCTTGAACACCAAGCCCATTTCCCCATCACAGAGAAAGAGCAGTTTATCACTCTTAAAGGTAGCTCTGGCTTGAGCTCATCTGAATCAAATTGACAATTCCATTTTCTTTAAACATACCCCATTTAACTGAAAGAGGGTTTTTTTGTGTATAGATGTCTTTTAAAGGTGAAAATACTATAGCAATACAAAATGTTATTACTTAGTGTCCTTATAACCAATGAAGGGATTCACAGTTCAGATCCCATCCACTGGAAACAGGGAAAACATCATGAATACAAGTACCATGCCCTGTGTTTTACGAAGCCGAGTCTATGCTAGCTTCAGAAAGTGTTGAGTTAATATACCAAAACCTTTTTGTGTTCTGGGGTTTTTTTGTGTATATTTTATTAGCTTTTTTTTTTTTACTTCTGTCAAATAGGAAAATTGTAGTTAAAGAAAATTACATTACATGTTAGTTATTAAATAAGTCAATAATGAATATAAAATACTTACCATACCTAGGAACTACTGAATATTAGCTTTTAAAATTGTGTTGATACTCTGAAAGAGAGGTATGTTATAAATCACTTTCTAAAAATCATGCAAAACAAAATAGTTCCACATAATCCCAATTAGCTATATGAGCATTTGTTGAACTTGTTAATAACATTCAATACATTTTCCAAATCTGTTTTAATTCAAAAACTATATAGTAGTCACAGCTGGCATCTGTATATTTTCTCTGGGCCTGCTCCTCCTCATAATATACATTCTGATTTTATTTTATTTTTTTTTACAGTTTGAAGTTATTTTATGATTTGATGATCCCTTAGCAGAATACGGACATGACAAGCTGAGACTGGAAAAGCAGACATGATTTTCCATAAGTGCTATAATAATCATAAACCCAGAGTGGGCCCACTCAAATTTGGGAAGAGTGGTTCAGAGAAAAACTTCTTGATGTTTACATCTTTGACCTGAATCCTTAAAAACACTTACACACTGGCCAAGGTTGAGATAAAAGAAAAAAATGTGCTTTGTTTTCTGAAGAAAGCACACAAGAAGACTCTGAAACAGTACATGAAAACATTCAAGGAGGCTTGTCCAAACTAATAAAATAAATAAATAGCCCTGGTTTTCCGTGTTTTATACATAAATCTCATTTTTTGTCCCAAGGTAATGAGAAAAGTTTTAAATAGTGAGTTATGAAATAAAACTTTTAACAAACCAAGCTTTCAAGTATCAAACTTTAAAGATGACTAAGCTTCAGAATGAGGAGATTAGATGGCAAAGACCAGTCCTAAAGATTTTAACTGATGTACTAGACACCCACCCTAACACAAAGTACACAACAGAGACTGGATGTGAGGGTGACACCCAGGCTTCTGAGTTGGCCACTGGAAGAGTGATATACAGGAGGAAAAGCAGATAGCAACGGTGTGAGAAGAGGGAACTACAGAACATTTAAGTGAAAGGATGAGGCTGGTGATTCCAGAGATTAAGGCCCTTGCCACCAAGCCTGATGACCTGAATCCAATCCCAAAATCCCACATAATGGAAAGAGACAACAGACTCCCACAAGTTGTCCTCTGACCTCTAGAAATATATCATGGTACACAGGATATGTGTGAACAAGATTGAGTGCGTGCGTGCACACACACACACACACACACACACACACACACACATTTTTAAAAAGAGGAAAAATAAACTGCCTTTGGATATACGACACTGAAGCTCAGAAAAAGAACTCTAAACTAAATTTGCTGTAAAGGAATCTCTATATAAAAGTGATAGTGCCCAGCTTCAAGTAAGATAAGCCACCCCTTATGACTGAAACTCCAGTGAGAGGGGCTAGAGGTTCAGAGGTCAAAAGTGCTTGCTGCTCTTGCAGACGACGCGGATCTTAGCATCTCCATCAGGTGGTTCACAGCTGCTGTAACTCAGATTGCACCTGCATGCCTATGGTGCCCATAAACTCTTGTAGGCACATATACACAGAGAAACAATAATTTTTAATCCTCAGTGAGAAAGTGAAATGTACGAAATTAGAACACTTGTTGCTGCTACACAGGACCCAGGTTTGGTTCCCAGCATCAACGTGGTGGCTCACAACCATCACAGCCAGAGGATCCAATGCCGTTCTCCGACCTCTGTGGGTACCAAGTATACACGTGGTGCAGACACATACATGAAGGCAAAATATTTCTTCCCATAGAATAAATAAGTCTAAAATAATTAGAGAGCTTTATGCTAGTAAGTTAAAAATCCTGCAACAGTTATTTATTCCCCACATAGCCATAAATTCTCCCCGAGCTGCCTGTGTTCCTTCAGTAACTGACATCTGACATCTAACCTCACCTCTAGTTAAATAGAAAAAGAAAGCTATGGTTTTTTAAAAGGAGAAGCCAGCTTCAGATAACTGAAATAGGTACTTCCTTAGGACATCCAAGCACAGATTACTACAAATTCAAATTTTTATATGCTCTTCATTTAGCAGTGTCCAAACGACCAACAAGACGTGAGATTACTATAGATCTAGACTTTCCTTCAAAGTAGAATCTTCATATTTAGAGCGGCATCAAGCCAAATTATCCCCAAAATACAGTCCAGATCTATATTACCAGATAATGACGATAACATAGATTTTTGAGTCATCTTTGAGAAGCAAGATTAAAAAGAAAATGCATTGTTAAAAATAAGTGAGGCACTGTGATCCACACCTGCAACATCAGCACTTGGGAAACAAAGAGCGCCACAAGCTTGAAGCCAGCTGGACTACATAAAAGTTAAAGCCAGCTTAGGCTGAGACTCAGTCTCAAAGAAAAAAGATAAGGTTGGTTTCATCCTCATTAGGACTAATTATAAATGCTGTAGCTCTATAGCATTGTGAATGCACGTTTGTGTCCTTCAGCAGGCCCTTTGGAAGCAAAGGGGTCCAGACGGGAGCTGTGTGTATTGGCTCACTTGCTAGCCACTGCCACCCTTACTGAAACAGCTTCAAAGGACAAATAGTAGGAGTGGCAACAAAGTTGTAGTTGACTGAGAGGAAAATGAGAAGTAAGCAAGTGTGTGGCTATTGTGGTGGACTTTTTTATAGCCCTAGAATAAGAACTCATGGGAGAAGTAACTAGAACACTGAACCAAGTCATAGACGTTTTTTTTTTTTTTGTTTGTTTATTTGTTGTTTGTTTGTTTGTTTGGTATAATTGGGGAGATCACAGATGCTTCCAACCAAGCAGAATGGTCAAGAAAGAGGAAAAGAAACATGAGAAACAGCAAGGGAAGATGAACACCTAGGGGATGACATTAGGAATGCCCGAAACTAAAGCTGCTGCATCAGCCTAGGCTTTTTCAAGTGCAAGTGTCAAAGAAGGAAAGCATGGCTTTCTTTAAGGGTGAGGGCTTCAAATTATGCTCAAATGTAATCAGGAGGTCCCTGAGCTTTCTCATTCCCCTCTGGCTTGACTCTTTTGTCTTAGGCTGTTACTAAGATATGCCAAGCTCCAAGCTTCAAGCTCCTGTTCTATCAACCCCCAAACCAAGCACTCCTTTTCAACAGGTGAAATCAAGTTCCGGGAATGACTCCTACTGGGAGGATTGTAGTCAACTATATGGCCAGCTCATAACCCGAGTACCACACTTACCCCCATCAGTCCCATTCAGACCACTTGACTGAACACTTGAGTCCTGAAAGTACCTGAATCAACATAGGGCCACCAGCAGGAGGGGCATGTATACCGAGAAGCTGTGGCAGTGGATGAAGGAGAGCTAAAGAAAAGAATCTGACACCAAATTGTCTTTAAAAAACAGAAAATGGGAAATTAACTACAGCAGACAAGAAAAAACAGCATTGAAAAATAGGAGAGAGAGGAAGTTACCTCAATAAGAGACTTTTTGTGTTTAGCGCAGGCTTGCTACTCTTAAGTTTCAAGGACAGTTTTGTTATATAAAGGAGAATTTCTATTATTGGAATTTCCTATTACCAAGAAGTATCGTGCTATGCTGTTAAGTTGCAACACATCCATTCTGGTACATTCCACTAATTCTCAATGAGTTTGACCATTAAAGGCTGCTGCAGCAGTGACCCCAATCCTTGAGTTGTGAAAGAGTTCTTTGTATTTCAGTCAAATGAGAAAGATTTTTTTCTTGAAGCACTGAGTTCCTCTGGTGAGAGATGACTCCTTTAAACTTTACAGGGGATTTAATAATCACTCCAGGGATGCTCCAGTGTCTACCTTTCTCCCACATTATAAGCAATAATTCTTCATCTTCCCATTTCTTTTTTAAAATAATTTATTTTTATTTTATGTGCATTGGTGTTTTACCCACATGTATGTCTGTGTGAAGGTACCAGATTCCCTGGAACTGGATTTATAGACAGTTATGAGCTGCCATGTGGGTGCTAGGAATTGAAACCAGGTCCTCTGAAAGGACAGCCGGTGCTCTAACCTTTGAGCCATCTCTCCAGTCCTTCATCTTCC